ATGTGTCGTCTTGTATATATCCAAAAGCCATGATGTTGGCTAGTTTTCAATACAAGGGTAAGAATCTTAATGAAATGATAGATCTTAAATCTGTAGATGCCAGTCTGGCTCAGTATTAATACTGACAGTAGTTTTTGTTTCTTAAAAAAGCGAGTATATTAAAGTATCTCTATTAGAAAAGATTACAATTTGAAAGGATCATTCTACAATCTTAAAACTAAAAAGCAATTTAAGGCAAAGAGGTACATCAAAGCAGCTATTCCATAGCTTAGATGTCAATGAAAGTTCTGTCTGTATTCTCTATTGGTAAGTGTGTGCCCTGGCAGATAAGGATCATGTGTACCGCTGTATCTGCCCCTGATTACTGTCCATCTCTGGCCCCTCTTACCTCACTATGCACCCAGTGAGTGTGAAATGATTATTAGTAATTGTTGTTGACTTTACAACTCTATGACATATAATACAGAATGCCAATGCATTTTTAAAGTTCTACCTAACATGTTCTGGCACTGGAAATACCTTACTTGAGATTTTAATGTTGGTTAATGCGGGAAAATGTCTGCTTAAGCACCACTAACTTAAAAGTGTAATTTGATTTCTTTCTGCACCTTTTGAATTTAGGAAAAAGAGAAATTCTCCAAATTCTGTTGTGGCACATGGCTTCACAGTTTAAAATAAAATCACAGCTGTCTCATTATGCAGCACAGTCCTTGGTTTTGCAGAAAGTACTTTTCCCCCTTATTCACAAACCCCTCAAGTATGTGATGATATGAGCTTTGCAAATTTGGACTGTATTTCAGAAACGCATGCAAAAATATGTATGATGGATTCCTGAATAATCTAGGATGATGTTCCTGTATCGCACACATTTTATGTTCATCTGTTTTGTATAATTAAATTTTTTAGCATTATTCTTTTTAATAGTCGAAAATTTAAAAAGATGTAGAAGGGTAGAAATTCTAAGATGCTTTTCATTTTTTTAAAAGTGTTTGAGAGACAGTTGTGACAGTTTTGGTGACTTGTTTGTATGATTTTTATGTCAGCAAGGAAGTTTTATTTTTGGCTCATACATTAATATGCCTAAATGCCTATTATCTCTGGATGTATCACATCTGTCATCAGATAACTTCCCAGTTACACAGTTGTCCTATGTATACCAGTCCCCAGAATGGTAGTTTTAAGAACACCACTTAAAACATCTCTTCCCATGGGAAAATAAAAGGGTAGAGAAGAGCATCGACAAATATGAAATAGGAATCAGGCAGCTCCATTACTTAATTTGTTTCAAAACAAGAGTTGACTCAAGTCAGAATGAGATAGTGCACTTGATAGAAGGAAAGTTATCCACTAATCTAAAAATGTAAACATAATTTTTATAGGGAAGTAACTATTTGAATACATATATTGCCATTTGTCTGCTATATAGTAATAGTTCTTGACACCAATGGTAATGTGTTTGTTTCTTTCTCAGCACCATATCTACTTAAACAGTAGGAGCCATCATTTCTAAATTAATCTATATAAAGAAATATGTAAGCCTGTTGTTATTATGTTTCACTGAAGTTTCAGCACTTTAGAAAATTCTCAGTTCAAGGTAATTTTGGCTCATTCATTGAAATATAATTTTCTCTTTTGCACTATAATTTCAAAAGGAGCATAAGAAATATGGATTTCTCTGAAAGATCCAAATTTGCAACTGAAGTGAAATATGTTAATTCACAAAGTAATGTGAATAATAAGTATCAAAAATTTTCCAAATAATGCTGATTTAAATGTTCAAAGTCCAGTTATGTGTTTTGTTATAAAACAGTACAAACAAAAATTCCTTTGTTGTTTTCTGTGCTCTTTTTCAAAATATATAAATCCTACTGAAGTTAATCTCTTTTCTCCACTTCAGAACACCAGGCACTGATTTATCCATTGGGAGTTTTGGCTTACTTTCTAATACCTAGATTAAGAAAAAAAGACAAATATTAATAATAATTTGATAATATTATAAATGAGTACAGTAGGCAAATTTAAAGTCAACTTTTTAAAAACTTCATGCAACAATTTCCCTTCATCTAAGCAAAAGTCACATTGTGAAATTATCCATTAATACATTATTTTATTTTTATTTATTTATTTTTTTTCCCTTTTTGTCTTTTTTCGTGACCGGCAACGGATCGCAACCCTCAACATTGTGAAATTATCCATTAATACATTATTTTATTTTTATTTATTTATTTTTTTCCCCTTTTTGTCTTTTTTCGTGACCGGCAACGGATCGCAACCCTCAGTGTATATTGTTGGAGCAATATAACAATTTTTATTTGTTCTAAGCATCTGGCCATATCCAATTCAGTGGATTCTGCTGATGAAAACTGACACATTCTGTGCAACAACAGAGTCACCTGTTTGGACCTGTTCCTAGTGGGAGTTCAGTAAGTCATACTTGGAAGTCATCAAATTTATTGTATTACAGGTCCTTTTGGTTCCACTGCATTTTATTTTACCCCTCGTGGAACTTTTCATATTGTATCTCTATTATAGTTATGTGTGTATTTCTATCACCCTCTCTACTCAATTTCAAATTCCTTGAGAGAGAGGATAATTCGTCTATTAAGTGTTGAATGAGAGGCTGCAAGGTAGCAGACCTGTACCTGGCACTGGGTATACGGCAATGGACAAGAGACTAGATCCCAGCTATTATGGAGTGGAGCAGGAGACAAACATTAAACAAAGATTCATCAGGGCCGAACCCGTGGCGCACTCGGGAGAGTGCGGTGCTGGGAGCGCAGCAGCGCTCCTGCCGCGGGTTCGGATCCTATATAGGGATGACCGGTGTGCTCACAGCGCTCACTGGCTGAGTGTGGTGCGGCCGGTCTCAAAAAGGACAAAAAAAAAAAAAAAGATTCATCAGTAATTAATAGGCATTACTATAATAAGGCTTCAGCAGTATAAGAACTAGGAGTCATATTTATCTTTGCATTACTCTCTAATATCCAATTTAGGACCTCAATAAAGTGGAAATGAATAAATAACTGGAGGAGTGAATAAATTAAGAAATTATAAAAATGAAGAAAAATTAACTAATCCATATATTTTAGCTTAAATTATAGTGATGTTCTGGGAGTTTTCAGTTATACTATGACAACTCTACACAATGTGGATCATAAAATCAGCCAGGTTTTCTGTGTAATGAGCATGTTTAGAAGAATACATTCAACTATATTTTTTCAGTGCTATCCATTTGTTATCATAGGCTTCAATCTATCTCAAGTGCTGTGATGACATTTGTAAAGCAGTCTCTGCTCCTCTGTGGGAATAAAAAGAAGGTTCCCTGCCACAGTGAATGCAGCCCTGAGCCCTCAGGGCATGACTGTGAATGGAGCTTGGGCTGGTTTTTTTTTTTTTTTTTTTTTTTTTGTCTTTTTTACTGACCGTTAACGGGATCGCAACCCTTGGTGTTGCGTCCGCACCACACTCAGCCAGTGAGCGGGAACCGGTCTCCACATGGGATCCGAACCCTCAGCGGGAGCGCCGCCGCACTCCCAAGCGGCGCACTCTCCAGTGTGCCACCGGGCCGGCCCTAGCTTGGGCTGGTTTTAGCCCTATTTTCCCCCAGACCAGGAGGCCAGGTATAGGGTGAGACCTGCACAAACTAGGTTTAGGCAGACTTGGGAAGGCCGACACACTACAGGTTCACGTGTGGAAAACCACTGTCCTGGTTTTTCTATTAGGCAGAAATTTCTATTAACTGTGAGTTTCTACCATAGCTCTGCCATACCTTTCTACATGACCCAGAGGCACGGGTGCCTCTCCAACGTCAGAGCCAAGGGGATGTAAGCAGTATCATTCCAATGGCATTCTCATTGTTGGGAAGATATAACCCAGATGGCATATGTAGTTATGATCTCTTACTCTAACAACACTTGAGTAGGCAATGCTTAAGAGGGCAGGGCAGGACAGACAGACAAGCAGGCACACCTACCCAAAGTTCTTTCATCAAAGCATCTACCACTGTTCTGTTAATATTTATATGCTGGGATTCCTCCTAACATTTCATTCAAAGAAGGGTGTCAGGAGTGGGAAAATTATGAAGGAAGCTCCACACTCCCCCTCCTTCTGCAGGGTGTTTCCCTAGTAACCATGGTTCTAGAACTCAAATATATGAAATCTTGATTTCTACAGACCAGGGGGTCTGATCTCTTCAGTTGTTTACTTTAAGGCAGTAATTTTCAAAATGCAGCTGGGGCTCAGACAAGCTCACCCACACAGCATATTGAGCAATGGGCACACTGGGCCTCCACACAAGCTTTTTGGGTAAACACTGTGTTCTGTGTGTATGTCTTCTTATTAAAACTAAGCTTTAGGATGATAAGAACCATAGTACATCCCTGCTGGGAAAATAGAATAATCAGGCCCCCTTGCCTTAGGCACAGTTGGGGGTGGTACAGCACATTCTTTGTAAGCAAATTGGGGCGGGGGTGGAGTTAGTGCACATGCATGGCACTGCGGCTTGGCTGGCGTCTGCCTCAGGGTCCATGCCACGCATGGCCATGCTCTCCAACCTACAGCTCCAAGGACCTGTTTGCTGGGTCCCTAGTTCATAGACCTGCATATGAGGGGTCTGGTGACCCAGCCTGGCATTTGAGGGGTCTGGGGACACAGCCTGGCATGTGAAGGGTTTGTGACCCAGTCTGGAATGGGCTTGAGGGGTCTGTGAGCACAGACCCAGCCCTAGCTCAACAACTGGCCCAGTCAGCAGGATTACAGGCAGGTAGACTAGCTCGACAATCCCCCAGCCTCTTCTCTAGCATTATACAAAAAAATAAAAATTAAAAATTAAAACAGAATCAGCTGTAATTATGTGGAAGTGCAGATGCTATACCATTGTCTACCTTTGGTCTACTTACAAGGAAGCTGTAGTATAATTAGTAATACACACGTCATGTATAGTGCTTGACAATGAACTAAAATTCTTTGTGAAGAAAATGACTTAGCTCGGCAAGTAAGACTTACGGTGAAATTGTGCAGCCTGAGGCATATGCATGATGTCCTGTGTAGCGAATTTCACAGCGTACAACATTGTTGCTATAGTCCGATTCAGGCACCACAAAATTGGGGTTTACACTGACCTAGGCAACACAACAGCGTTTACATTAAAGATTTCATCATCAGTATTTACTGGTTAATTTCCTTATATTTCCATAAGGCTACAGGGGAATTGGTAATAAGAGAGTTAACTAAATCAAGTAGGGAAGGAAGCTGAAGTTAATCAAGTGGCTAAACTCTGGAGATGTTATAGGAGACTTGAGTATTTTCTCCTGAAGATCTTTAAATAAGAGCTATTTTCATATATTTAGATTGCTTAGAATAGTTCTAGAGGACCTATAATTGCTTCCAAGACCATGATTATTTAACATTCAAATCCAGAGAAGAGAGCCTATTGATTTTCAGTCAAAATAAACTACGTATCTTCAAAGGTCTCTACCTTTAGAATGTAGTTTCCAGGTTGTACATCTGTAATATCAATCCACTGGCAGTCTATGTCTGCACCATAGGTATCATAGCAGCCAGGGCTCAACCCCTAAAACAGACAAAATAAAAAATTTTAAATGATGGTATATGGTTCGACTAAGCTAAACAATGTGCTACCATCTGCAAATTAAATTTTAAGTTAGTTCTTAGAAGAGTTTGACATAAAATTGCACTTACATTTCATTTCTCTTGAAAAGTATGAGGAGTTTTCAAAAAGGTTATGAGAAATACTTATTATGAAAAACTATGCATGGATTTCAAAAAATACACCAAAATAAATTCATACTAATTTGTAATATGTCTCAATAGGATCTAGTCTGCACTTACATTTCATTTCTCTTGAAAAGTATGAGGAGTTTTCAAAAAGATTATGAGAAATACTTATTATGAAAAACTATGCATGGGTTTCAAAAAATACACCAAAATAAATTCATACTAATTTGTAATATGTCTCAATAGGATCTAGTTTGAAGCACTAAGGACAAGACACCACTTTGAAAAGAACCCCTATTAGAGCAACATAAATTCTGCTAAAATTGAAGCAACAGCAAACAGCAAATTTATGGTGAAGCTTGGGTGGAATAATAGTGCAATCATTGATGCTTTACGAAAAGTAAATAGGGATAATGCCACAAAGAAATCAGTAGAATCAGTAGTTTACAAATGGATAACTCATCTGAAGAAGGGACGAGACGATGATGAAAATGAAGTCATAGCAGACCATCCACATCAATTTGTGAAGAAAAAATTTATCTCATTCATGCCCTAATTGAAGAGGACTGATGATTAACAGCATAAACAATAGCTAACATCATAGACATCTCAATTGGTTCAACTTACACAATTCTGATTGCAAACATTACAAATCAGCAAACGTTCTGCTCCATGGGTGCCAAAACTGCTGCGCCCAGCTCAGCTGCAGACAAGAGCAGAGCTTTCAATAGAAATTTTAAACTAGTGGGATCAAGATCATGAAACATTTCTTCCAAGAATTATAACAGGAGATGAAACATGGCTTTACCAGTACGATCCTGAAGAAAAAGCACCATCAAATCCAAGGCTACCCAAAAGTGGAAGAGGTCTAGTCAAAGCAAAAGCAGACAGGTCAAGAGCAAAGGTCATGGTAATAACTTTAGGGGATGCTCAAGGCATTCTGCTTGTTGACTCTCTGGAGAGCCAAAGAACAATAACATCTGTTTATTATGAGAGTGTTTGGAGAAAGTTAGCCAAAGCTTGAACAGAAAAATGCCTGGGAAAGCTTCATCAGAGAGCCCTTCTCCACCACGACAATGCTCCTGCTCATTCCTCTCATCAAACAAGGGCAATTGTTTGTGAGTTTTGATGCAAAATCATTAGACATCCACCTTACAGTCTTGATTTGACTCCTTCTGACTTCTTTTTGTTTCCTAATGTTAAAAAATCTTTTAAAAAAGGGCACCCATTTTTCTTCAATTAATAATGTAAAAAAGACTGCATTGACATGGCTAAATTCCCAGGACCCTCAGTATTTAGGTATTGACTAAATGGCTGATATCATTGCTTACAAAAGTGCCTTGAACTTGATGGAGCTTACGTGGAGAGATAAAGTTTATATTTTTAATTTTTATCTTTTAATTCCATTTTTCCACCAACTTTTTTTTTTTTGGTCCTTTTTTGAGACCAGCCGCACCGCACTCAGCCAGTGAGCGGACCAGTCATCCCTATATAGGATCTGAACCCGCAGCAGGAGCGCTGCTGTGCTTCCCAGAGCCGCACTCTCCCGAGTGCGCCATGGGCTCGGCCCTTTCCATGAACTTTTTGAAGTCTCCTCATATATATGAGTATTATTCAGCCTTATAGAAATTCCAGCTAAAAAAGATACAAGACTAACATAAGTAGTAGTACACCATGCTTCTTAAAACAGTCATAAATCACCAGTGATAAAAACAATCTTAAGTGATAAAACAGGCTTCCACCAAAAGTCTAGAATATTACCAGTTCAGGAATAAAGGCCATTTAATAATTAACTTAGCTCAAATGTCCTCTTCTCAGTGAAACCCTCCCCAATTTCTCCTCTTTGAAATTACCTTCTCTGAATACTTATACTTTTTTGTGTATAGCTTTTATAGTGTTTATCCTTTTCTGTTCTGCATTACTATACAAGTTCAAGAATATATCCATCTAACTACAGGTTGTAAGCTCCTTAAGGGTACAATCTGTGTTGCAGCTTTGAATAGCTAACATTTATTATTATTATGTGCCAGGAACAATTTTAAACATGTTAAAATTTCACGATTACCTGTAGCAGGTGCTATAATTATCTCCATTTGATAGATAAGGAAATAAGCACACTAAGGTCAAATAACTTACTCGAGGGTCTACAGCTAGGAAGTGGCTAAGCTGGTTTCAAGTTTAGGCAATCAGGGTCCAGGGTCCTTGTTCTTAACTACACTGTACTGTCTCTTATATTTACCTAAATATTTTGTTGAATTGAAGGGATGAAGAATAAACTTCAGGTCCCCTGCACACATGGTACCATGGACTTGAAGATCATTAAATGAAAGGGAATCTCTGTATGCACACATGATAACACGTGGATAGGTTACATCTCCTTTTGGTTAAAGAAGTACTGCCTCAGGGTACATAGGATTTGTTCTTTTTTGGCTTCCAATTTCTATAATGTTCTAAGCTCAGAGAAAGAAGCAATGGTAACATTTAGGTCACCAAAAGCTTCCTGCCACAGACTTGGAATTTGCTTCCAAAGATGCCAGCTGCTGATTCCTTTGTGCCCTGGGTTATGTACATTCACTCCTCCTTGCCAAGATTTGGGCTGTAGTAAAATTATAACGTCCTTTTACAAATTAAGGTTTCGTATGGAAATACTGACACAGCTTTTAACTGACACACATTTTCCAATTATAAGACATGCAAACTGCTTAGTTCAGCACTATATTTAAAAATCCATCCAAACAACATCTGACATGAATTATACTGTAGGTTTAAATTTATATGTGTGGAGAAAGAAATGGTATCCTTGTGATCTTATGAGCATCATGGAAAGAGACAATTTTTAAAGTGCTTTTTAAGAAACTTATTTCCTCTTCTTTTGCAAACCTCAACCACTATTTTATTTTTAGCTAATAGGTAAAGAGAGGAATGGTTCTGCACGTGAGAAAACAGAAGTATCTTTTCTGCAGTTTTTTACCAAGCCAGTTAAATATAGGATGAGTGCAGATGCTGTAAACCATTCAGACTTTTTCAGTGAGTAAACTCTTGCTTTTCATTGTGGAACATAACAAGGATCCACATTGACCTTCTGTGATCATAAATGGGGGCCACGTGCATAGCTAGAAATTCTTTAGAAGTAATTTGAATCATCAAGCCAATCACTTGCTTTTTCCCAATTATTTCCCATCTTGACAAGATGACCCCCAAAATGAAACAATTTATAAAAGAGAGGTGGGAGGAAAGAAAATAGTGCACTACTTTGCTTTCTTTCTGAGGCCAGCAGGTTCCTGATTTCAGGGTGCCAACTCACCTGTGTGTGTGCAGTACATGCAAATCGTCTGTGGTAGCCATAGTCACAGGATGTGTCCTCAAGACAGAAACTTGCTTTGTGGCCTTCAGCCACTCTCCTCTGGGTGCTGGCATCAAGCAGGTCGTAATGGCTGAATTCATCCATGCTGTGGTAATGTCTAATGTGCCACACCACAAAGAGATGGTGGTCAGGTACATACAGAGAAAGCAGTGAAGATATTAAACAACTTCCCCATTGCCTCACGAATTTGTCTTCACATTATCATTGAGATCAAGTTTATCTTTTTAAAGAGAGATTTATGTTAGATTTTTTCCCCAGGGACAGAAATATATCAAAATTGTAAGCTTTTAACTTAGCTACTATGAAAAAAGACTTAATTTGAGTATTTTGCTTTTCCATTACATCCTGCTTTATCTTTGAATATTAAATAGAAATAGACAATAAATTATCTGTGCTTAAGTGAAGCTTGCCATATGTTCTCTAGTATATTTCTCTTGGCTGCACACTACTGCTGTTTCATTCCAAAAAAAAAAAAAAAGCATGTGACTCTAGAGAGGTTCTCATGAGATTTTTAAAAATTGAGTTCCCACATATTTAAAATTACTAAAATGCAAAGGAGAAATAATGGCATGTTTTATTCACCATTATTATTTAAATAGTATAAACTTTTATTCAGAAATAAAATGTTTCTATTTTATCAGCAAATTGGGTGGCGCGTATCTACTCTTCTTAAATAGAAGGTGCTGAGCTGTTCATCTTCTCACATAAAGAAAAACAATGAGAAATGGCTTAAATATCAGAAAGAAAGTTTAAGGCCACACATCAGGATTTCCTGACAATAAACACCTTGTCAAGTTACCAAGGCAAATGATAGAATTACCTTATGGGAAAATCTTTAAATTTTGGACAGAACAGGTAACCAGCCTGGGTTTGAGTAGGACTTTTAAAGTCCTACTCAGTTCATGGAGTGTATCATCCACACCTTTCTTTAAGAATGGTCTCTGAAACCTTTTGATAATAATGTGTGGTCCTTATTAAATGCTCTTTAATGCTAACTAACTAGATGATCTTGGCTGTGATAGACTTTTTTAGAAATCCTACTTGTAGTATATTGGAGTAAATTTTAATGAAGTCAATTGCTGTATCCTATAAAAAGTTTTAATAAACTGAACATTAGAGTTTCCAGTTCAAAAGATAACAGGATCTAGTTGTTGATGGATTATCTTAAATATCAACTCCCTTGTTATGTCAAATTACTTAGAGAAAAATTCTAAATGAAAATAATAGCAATTTTCTCCCACTGGGTAAGAAATAGACTTATATTCGTCCTATGAAGAATCATCTGAAAAACAAAAAAGCAACTCAAAAGTACCTAGGATGTGACCTACTTACTGGTGACAACTGTGCCATTCCCAGGAATATCTTGGTCGGCTTGGCAAGAAATCTGATGTCCCTTGGTTTTTCACTCTTTGGGGAAATCTTAGCAGCACCCTGTGATCATAATCTCTGGCACTGTATGCTGAACTGTGATTTTGAAAAAAGAAACATTATTATATTCACAGAATATTAACTAAAGACAAAATTGCAAACAAAACCTCTCCATCATGTAATAGTGACAACCCTGCCTTCCCCAACTAGACTATCAGTTTCAAGAGACCAGAGCATTTTGTTTATTTTGTTTATCCCAAGCTCCTAGAACAGTCCTGGGTAGTCAGAGCTCAATGAATATTGGCAAATGAGTGAATGAATGACAACTATGAAAATCTGAAGGGCTTAAAAGTAAAAACATAATAAAACTAGCACTAAAAATCTGCATGTGAGAAGTAAACTTTATATCTAAAATCAATTCAAGTTTTACCATATGAATGAGTGAAACTGCGTGGAAATTATCCCAAATAAAAAGTAATCCACAGATACTTATCAGAAACTTTGAATTTAACAAACATTTCTTCTTAAATATGAGGGGTCTTCAAAAAGTTCATGGAAAGATTCATATTATCTTTTAATTCTGTTTTTCCACTAAATTTTTGAAGTGCTCTCATAGTTAACTAAAACATAATGTGGGGAAATAACTCTAAAAGAGCACACCCCAGGCCGGCCCGGTGGCGCACTGCTTGGGAGCGCTGCGGCGCTCCCGCCGAGGGTTCGGATCCCACATACAGACCGGT